CTCCTCCTCCCAAACCCTCTCATATTAAGTCAGAGCTCTTCCCTTGTCAGAAGAGACGAGATCTCTTAATGTGCTTAAGAGCCCCTCTTAACAGGCATGACTCCTACAGGCCCCCTCCTGATGTCCTGGAGGAGAACTGGAGGGGGATTCAGGAGGTGGAGAGGGGTCAGCAGGGGGCTTCAAGGGGGGGGAGAGGGAGAGGAGAGACGCTCTATGCTACTGAAGTAAACTCTTTTCATGGTGCTCATCAACTTGTGATTTCTACATTCCTCCATTCATGAATTCACATCTAGGGATTTCAAATGTAAAGCCATTTTCCCTTTCATTTTTATTTACTTATCAATACAGGATCCTATGAGTAGGTAGGTAGGTAGATAGATGGATAGATAGATAGATAGGTAGACTGATGGATAGGTAGGTAGGTAGGTAGGTAGGTAGATAGATACGTAGGTAGGTAGGTAGGTAGGTAGGTAGGTAGGTAGGTAGGTAGGTAGGTAGATAGATACGTAGGTAGGTAGGTAGGTAGGTAGGTAGGTAGGTAGGTAGGTAGGTAGGTAGGTAGGTAGGTAGGTAGGTAGGTAGGTAGGTAGGTAGGTAGATGGATAGATAGGTAGGTAGGTAGATAGATGGATGGATATGTAGATAGGTAGATAGATGGGTAGGTAGGTAGGTAGGTAGGTAGGTAGGTAGGTAGGTAGGTAGGTAGGTAGATGGATAGATAGATAGGTAGGTAGGTAGGTAGGTAGGTAGGTAGGTAGGTAGGTAGGTAGGTAGGTAGATGGATAGATAGATCTACCTACCTATCTATCGGTAGGTAGGTAGGTAGGTAGGTAGGTAGGTAGGTAGATAGATAGATAGATAGATAGATAGATGGATGGATGGATGGATGGATATATGGGTAGGTAGGTAGATGGGTAGGTAGGTAGATACTTTATTTATCCCAAAATGGTAAATTATTTTTTCACGGCAGCAGTGTTGTGAAGCATTACACAAGTTAAAAATATTGAAAAGATACAATAGGATACCAATATAATACAAATACAAATTAACATCAGCGACAAGTGCATTCAAAGTCACAATAGAAAGGACATATATCACTAAAGTAATACCCAATATAAAGAACATATTGAACACAATATACAATCTCACTAAGCTACGGAAATATATAGAAATATACAATAGACACATATTGGCATTGGATTATTCTGTATACATTACAATTGTGCAAAGTAGCAGTTGTGCAAATTAAAAACTATCATTTATGAAAACATGCACGACATCCCCCTCTTTTTGGAGTGCTTCATTAAGCACACTTTCTCTTTTTCCAGACTGCCTTCGCCTTGTCTCTCTGTGTGTTTCCAGCTTTTGGGAAGTGCGAGTAGCCATTTCCTGTCCGTCGCTGCCCCGGGGGAATCATCCATCACTTGACATTTTTAGTGGGGGCTCCTCAATTAACCCATGAAAACTGTAAAGCTATTCTCCCCCCTGTTTTTTTTTTTTACAGCTCAGCAAAAGCAAGTTAATGGCTTAAATAAATGCATCATTAGTTCCAGCATCAGGCTGTCAAAATCCATTATCAGTTTACACCCATCTGCGGCGGCATTACTGTCAGCACAACGTAAATGTTTGCTTTGAATTACGACCTTATTATGGGATTTCAGCATAACCTCGTAAATCAGCAGCCCATCAGATTTCTCTCTTTAGCAAACACTGCTTAGATTCAATTTAACAAAGAACCACAATTGTTAGAAAAAGTAGATCCCCCTCCTGTTGCATCTATCAGAGACTTTAAATAGCAATGCATCTGAGTCCTCCAAACAAATACACCACCTTAAGCCCAAACGTAAACACTTGGAGCTCTGACCACTGATCTCTCGGTGCTGGGAACTGGCCGGCTGTAATTAAAGTGTAACATGTCAACTGTTGCTCCAGATCAGGCCCTTTTCAGCTGTTTATTTGTTAAGCTTGTACTTCTGTGAGAATCTGTTAAAACAACCCCTTCCCTGCAGTATCGATTACGCCGAGAAGCATGCCACCTTCACCACAACTTTCCCTGATTAGGCACAGCACTCTCATCAAGAATGTTGCTTAGCTTTCAAGAAAAAAAAATGGCCAGTGACGTTTGTTTGATGTTTCCTGTCGAGTGCAGTTGTCCAGGCTGAGCTGGAGCTTCAGCAGGCGGAGAAGGTGGAGCGAGTGAAGCAGCAGCGAGCTCAGCAGTGGCTTCAGACCCAGGCTGCTCGCTCTGACCGGGGCTCAGAGAGGTGAGCGCTTCATCAGGGGCTTTAAATGGTCACTTTAACCAATTACAGCATTTTGTAATCTTTTTGAAACGTTTTTCTCTGTGATTTCTGACTGTGCAACTGGGACGTTTTGGCAAGAGACACTCTTTGCTGTTGAGCTTTTAAATATTAAACATTGAAACTCTCTGAGCATCAAGAATGTAAGAGTCCTTCACAGTATGCTGTATAATTGACTTTATGTCATGGAGTGTAATAATAAGGTTTCTATGAGACAACTTTATTTACCTAAAAGGTCTTCAGCCATGGTACATACATACACACTTCTACATGTGGGCTTACATACACATACTACTCAGTATCACTCCACGCCACATCAGTAACATCCTGATGGCATGTAAGCGGAACTATATACTACAAAAAATTTAATTTTTATTTGATTGTGGACGCAGCATACGTCTCAGAGGGGGATACCGAATAGGCAAAACTATTTGTAGGGTGAGATGCCACTTCTTTCCCCACTAACATAAAGTTAAATTAACTATTTTACAGTAATTAAAAATACATTTCCATCCAAAAATATTGCCAAACTCCCATTTAAGGGGATGCTTGCCTCGTGTAATGGATGCATTTATAACCAACAGTACAAAAACACTACATCGTTCTGTGCAGGGAAAGTGAAGAAACTAAAATTGAAAAAACAAGTGAGACGAGGGAGATTTGATTTATCTGACGTTTTTAGTGTTTAACGGTGGTGGTCAGGTCCTATGAATAAAAAAGAAAGGATATCTGATTGGCCATGCTTCATTCTGTTAATTTAAAATGTTATTATTGTACTGATTGTTTTTGGATACCATGGAACAAAGTTGAACCAAAATGCCTTTTATTATAACTACTGTTTATTAAAATACATACCATAAAACATTCAGTAACAGAGGCAGTGAGGCCCCCTACCTAACGAATAGACGTTAAGATGATCAAACATGGCATCTGTGTTTATTTGGTCAGAGGTAATAGCTTAGCGAGGAAGAAAGGAAACTTCTGAATTGATTTGAGATATGCAGAGCTCTAAATGTCCGGGCCTATGTTTTCTTATCTTTTACTCAGCGTGCATTTCTTACCGGAGATCAGCTCGGACATTCTGAACGGAGGCAGAGTGCAGCTCGTGGTGAGTACACCCCCCCTCTGTTTCCCCCATTTATTTCAATGACAGTGCATCTTGATTTTGATCTTCTCTAGGGGGGTTATTTTCATGCATGTGAAGGTATGCAGTATTTACATTCAGCGGTCCTGCAGTGGGCTCCCTCTCCTGGAGCCTGTCTCATTGGTTTTAAAGGAGGCAGGGGGGGAGGTTTGTTTCACTCCACAGTGACACTTCCAATTGGATCAACCGGCTGCAATTTCTTCATTTTACTTGCAGAAATCCCAGTGTCACTTTGGAGAAGTTTGCATGGACCCGTGAATGATTGTGATGCTGGTGAGGGCTTTGAAGTCGGGAGTAACAGGTCTCCCTGCGCAGTTATAGAGCAGTTTGAGTTATGATCACTGGCAAGAGGAGACGCCCTCTCCTCCTGTTTCTTAGATATGTTCAGACGGCAGAGCCCCTGGTTGTTGAATGTTATTCGAAATGCAGGAGTGCTTGCGTGTCATGTTGGGCCTCTTTTCTGTGTGTGTTTCTGTGCGTGCAGGCGGACCTGGGATCCGCAGAACGTCACGCCAGCGGATCGTGCGCCAACAACAGTTTAGCTGCCCAGCTCTGCAACGAGAACGATTATCCTCACAGAAACTCTTTGGGTCATGCAAGTGAGTCGTTTTTCTACCCAAAATCGCCCCGTTTACAGGGGATTTCCGAGTGATTGTTGAACAGAATCCAAAAAAACATTAATAAAATGTTCTGAAATACAATATACGCCTATTCTCTTAAAGTAAACAATTCAAGTCACTGATTCTGTTTTTATTCTTCTCTTACAATGACTGGTAATCCAGATAAATGTCAATAGAGACTTTTAATGCCAATGTTTGATTTAAAAGCTAATTTAAACAACATTTTCAGTAAATAAATAATGAGCAGTGTTTAATCACAACAATAAAAGTATTTTATAAACATGCCTCCATACACACATGCCTAACATATGATTTGAATAATAGACAGACAGACAGATATATGTATACTGTATTTATTGAATATGGTTGTATAACATATTTACTTCATGCTTATGTTAGCTTTATGACACTTTTTATTAAGTTAAACTGACATTTTGCCTAAAAAGTCCAAATGTTTCAAGCAATTTCATATACAAACCTAAGAATATATATCATCAGTATCATATATTGTCATTATTTTAATATCTTTGTATGCAAATGTGTGTATATACCTGTACATTAAGCACATGTGTGTACAGATGTTTTTTATTACATTACATTACATGTTACTTGTTAGACGCTTTTATCCAAAGCGACTTACATACTCAATACTGTGGGCAATCCCCACAGGAGCACAGGGCCGGCCCTTGGCATCGGCAGTATAGGCGAATGCTAAGGGCGCATCAATCAATGGGGGGCGCCAAAAATAAAAAAATAATTTAAATTTAAAAAAATTTTTTTTATTTCATAACAACACAATTTCCAGATTTTGGATCAACAAAGTACATCTTATTATCTTATACTAACAGAACTACGCCTATATTGCGTACAGCGCCCATAAACTATGGCGCACCCCCCCCCCAAATCAAGTTGAACTGCCCCAGCCCCAGTAAAAACTAGACGTTTATGTGAAATAGTTATTTTTTGAAATAATGATTTTAGTGTGCAATTATAGGTTTTAAATTGATTTGTAAAATATCCATAAAGAAAAAGAAAATCTGCTTACAGTTCTGTTTCAAATGGGTGTTGAGAGAGGTATCCATAGATCTCCTCATATTGTTCTCAACGTGCACCAGATTGATGCTTTTAACTTCAATATTTAAAAAAGCATGCCCCCGGACCCCCCTAGAGGAGGTGAGGTCCACCCCCCACTTAAATCATGCTCAAATGGATAGGATACTAAATACATTTGCACACATCTTGTGTCCATATCTTTCTGTTTTGGTGGTGCCACAACCGTGCATGCATACGCGAATCATAGTGAGTGTCTGCATTTTGGGGGGGGGGCGCCAGCTAAAATCTTGCCTCGGGCTGCAAATTGGTCAGGGCCGGCCCTGCAGGAGCAATTTGGGGTGAAGCGTCTCAGGGACACAACGACATGCTGACTGCAGTGGGACTCAAACTTGCTTGTGGGACTCTGATTCAAAGATCAGCGCATTAACCCACTGCGCCACACGCCCCCCCTCTGTAACACAGGCCAAGAACCCAGAGTCTCGATAAAGTCTGCTGCTTATCCAGCCTACACTGAGTCCACTAGTCGGCTGTTTCTGAAAGAGGAGAGGGGGGGGGCAGCATGAGGTCGGGCCGGGGACAGAGTGCCGCGAATTTCTCCTCTGACAGGAAACGGGCAAAAAAAAAAAAAAGAAAGTCCTTTCAGTGAAGAATGACTGGGTCTTCTGTCAGGAGTTTGAGCGACAAAGATGCCACTGACAGACTGACGGCAGATGACCACTTTAAACAAGCTCAGGAATCCAAGAGAAGGAGAGCCCTGTCCCCGGTAACGAAGTCAAATTGGATTCCGGTGATGATTTCAAAATGATTTCCACGAGGTGCAGCAGCGAGCGTTGTCGTGTTAGGCAGGCGGACCGTTGTTCTGCAGAGAGAAAGCCCCTTTGTCTGCGATGATGAAAACACCACTTAGCAACATGTGTCAAATTGAAATATGAATGTGTCCAAGGCAAGAACATTTCTCATAAAGCCAATTAGATATTCTATAAACTTGGAAAGGACACAAAGGGTTCTGAGTTGCATCATGAAAAACAAATTAAAGGACATTGGTTGACAAAAAGGGAATTAGCTAAATAAGCAGCTAATGTTTTTTAGTCAACCCACACCCCCAAATAGGCACAACAAATAATATTGATCATATATGTTGTGCCTTCTGAAGTGGCGTGCATACATCAAAGTGAGGCTTTAAAGTGACGAGGTTCACTTGCTTTGCCATTGCAGTCACGATGACATAAATACTCTTTAACCCGCTGCAATGCGATACTCACCACTTGCTGGGACGCTGCCATAAAATGCGTTTCCAGGCTCACAAAATATTTTCATTACCTGTGCACAGGAAACCACTTGAGTTGCATATCTGCTCCCTCAATTTCGTCCGCCGTTCAACTCTAATAGGAGTGAAATGGTCGAAAACAATGTATTTGGTCACAGCGGTTTGGGTCCAATGTGCGGCCATTTCTTTCCCCCCATCTCCGTACATTAAATGGCACGACCGCAGTACTTTCGTCGAGATTTAGATCAGATAATTGGACAAAAGTCTTTAGTAAACCACCCGAATTTCTGAAAATAAGCACAAAGACTGCGGCGGTTTATCTTCAAACTACATTACACGAATGTGAGTGGAGGAAAACGGTGTTACACGACAGACATGTGTAAAATCAAAATCTTTAGAGGTGCGATAAGGTATGACTCGAGAGTGGTTGGATATTCTATACAGTGTGCCAGCTGTGCAGATATCTGGAGCCGTATCTGCCCCCCCACCTCCTCCAGAGCCCCCCCCCGCTGTGTGGCGCCCTGTGTGTGGCGGCCGACACGTGGAACGCATCACCCCCGGTGGAAGCGCTGCCTTTGTACTGTGTGTTTGAAAAGCTCCACACTGATCCCCAGGTGGAAAGGAATGGGCCTCTGGTGCAGCTCACACACAACTCACCTGCTCAGACTTAAGACTTTACAGCCAGGTTTAACATTGTGTTGTCTCGAGCTTCATGAAAGAGAGACTCAACTGGAGTCGAAATGTAACTCATGCAAGGTCAAGAGTTGCACATTTCTTGTTTTAAGGTTTTAAGGAACACTCTTTGTGTTAGATTATGTTATTATTGCTTAGATAAATGGCATCATTGATTGGTTGTTGACAAGAGCAACTTGAGAGAGAAAGTTTTCTTTGTTGTTTGATGAGAGACAACATGAGGTCATATTTTGACTCGGTCCTTTTAGAGCAGGGGTGTCAAACTCAATTTCATCGCGGGCCACATTCGCATAAAGGTTGCACTCAAAGGGCCGGTTGTAACTATATAGATATATAATATATATATAAAATAATGTATTATATTACATGATTGCCTCTGAATTGGATTATTATCGGATAGGACAATAACTTATTAATTAACTACGGTTGAAAGCAAGTCTCTTCAGTGCGCATGTCACAAAATGAGATGCATCGTGGGACATGTAGTTTATGGATAACCTGCTTCTGTAAAGTGGCATGTAACCGTATAATAAACGTATTATATTCTTTGCAAGCTCTTACAGGCCACATCAAATGAAGTCGCGGGCCGGATTTGGCCCCCGAGCCTTGAGTTTGAGACCCCTGTTTTAGAGGGAAATCCTTAGGTGTACAATAAATGATACATTACTTTTCCCACAACTGAAGCAACTGTTTGTTTTGGAGGGCAAAGTCCTTCCTAACCCTAACCCTAGAAACCTTTCAATGATGATTATTGATAACCCACGCTATTAAGGACCATAACAAGGGCTGAGCAAAGAAAAAGAGCAGGCCATGTCAGCAACAATCCAGTAGAATCACGATTGACGAACACTAAATCTGCTATTTTAAAAAGCACACATTGTATGCATTACCGTCTATGAAAAGTGGATTTGACACCGTTCGATTCACACATGAGATATTGATGCATTTTCCTTCTACGTCTCCAGGAAAAGAAGTCCCATCTCCTCCGAGAGTCACGTCTGCTCCGTCAAAAAAGGAGCGCATGTCCTTCCGAGACAACCCAGTCATGAAGAGCGGCGGCTGGGGAGGAGGCAAGAAGAGGGACAGATTCTACAAGTAACACACAAACTCTTCCACAGCTTTTAAGATTCACCCAACATGTGAAGAACTCAAAGACACATCTATCTGATATTGGTTCATTTTCAGATAGATATCCCTAAGAATGCAGGTTCTTCAAAATATGTGCATCGAGTTCAGGAAAGTTTGGATGCAATTGTTTGCTAGCAACCTGTGTTGTGGTGATGACCCAACATTTGAACCAATGGATCTCAAAAGACCATTTCTTCCTTCCATGACGAAAAATCTCTTTATTTTTATTAAAAAGGATATTTTCTCACAATTTAACATTTCCCCCTGCAGCTGTTCTTTTCAAACTCAGCTGAAAACTTGAGCTCCCCGTCCCGAACAAAAATGAATTAAGAGCAATAGGACCCGGACCAGCCCAAATATCTCCGGGCACTTTCGTTATGTTGACTCAGCTCAAGTTTCAGCGCCTGAACCAAACACAATGGCACGCTTCATATGCAAATGATGGCAGGAAATCAGAACCAGGAACTTTTTATACCCGTGAATTCATGTTTCCTTGGATGCTGAACGGTTGTTTCTATGCTGATTTACTGTCTCGACAACAAACAAAGTAACTATAGTTTGCAGCCGTGGGAAGAGACTTGCCTTTTACACGTATTCTGCTCTTTTAAGACTAAAATGTAACCCTTGAATAGTTTCTGTATCCTGGAGGACACATCGCCCCGATAAGGTTATACAACAGAGATAATCACTCACAGATAGACTTGTGTTTTGAAGCCTATACTCGTGTAAATACAGTGAATTATGGGTCTAATAACAGCAATATGGGTTTAAGATAGGTGTAATAAATGGGTGTAACATGTGTAACACAGGTGGAACCTAGATGTACTATGGGTGTGAAGTTGGGGCAATGTGGGTGTAACATGGGTGTGATATGGAGGTACAGTAACATGGGTGTGATATGGATGTACAGTAACATGGGTGTGATATGGAGGTACAGTAACATGGGTGTGATATGGAGGTACAGTAACATGGGTGTGATATGGAGGTACAGTAACATGGGTGTGATATGGAGGTACAGTAACATGGGTGTGATATGGAGGTACAGTAACATGGGTGTGATATGGAGGTACAGTAACATGGGGGTGATATGGTTGTACATTGGGTGTGATATGGGTATATTATAGGTGTAACCTGGGTGTGGTGTTGGTGTTATATGGATGTCATATAGGTTCAATAAAAAAAATGTATACCCTAAATGGGAAATGTATTTTAGAAAAAAAGTCACATTTTGAAAAAAGTCATGAAATTGTAATTGTAGCCCAGATATTAGAAAAACAGTAATTCTTTAATTTCCCCAAAATATCGCCATTTTAAGGGTTAAGTGTCATTTTAGTGGCTACATTCAGTTCCCGCTCGCCAACAGTGGGTTTGAAACGACTGCTTTTAAGCGCCGGGCACAAACATTGGTGTTGGAATTAGAACGTTTTCTTTATTTCCAGTGGTGGATTATAATGGCCTTGTCTCTGGTGTATTTGAGTTTGGAGAGCTACAAGGCGTCCGTCCGCAAACACTGCCCCCCCCGGAGGCGATGGACCTCGAGGCTCGGAGGTTCCTCGCCGCCTGGAAATGATAACTTAATGAATATCAAAACAAATAGTCGGAGCTGCAGAGTGGCTCCCTGGCAGGAAATGCATGTCTGTGTATTTATCTTCTCCTATCTTTCGCTCTGCACATGTCTGCAGGCTGTGTTTTGACTGTACTGCAGGGATTTCAGTCTTCAGAGTGGCGTATGCCAGAGATGTGGTGGTCCAGCCCACTTGGGGGATGTTGTGAAACCCAAGAGCAGTGTTCTCCTTCAGGGGGGACATCAAGGGGGGAGTATCTGTCATCAATCAGTCAATGCACAACTCTGATAAAGCCAACTTCAGATATGTATTGCATACATCATGCAGAGACAGGTGAAATAAATGTGCACTTATATATTGTCACTTTCTTTGACATGTGTTCAGATTTTCCCAGGCTTTCCTCCCCAACTACCGCTGCTGAAACGATATTGTTGAACCAGCGTCCACCAGTCTTCATTACTTCTGTTTACTTTTGGGTTATGGCTAAATGATATGTAACTTAAGACATCCAAAATCCATTGCGTGGTGAAATGAGTGCTCCACCGCACATTTAGATAAGATGAGGAATGTCCCTCTCAGCCTGCCTGACCTCAAGTCAGCACAAGTTGTCAGATGGAGTCTGCCAGAGAGACCGTGGCTATCCAAATCCCTCTGAGTGCTGTCTTCCAGTGCATTAGACTAGAGGACCGTAACAGAGGCTGCTTCCAAGTTTTAGCTACAGTTTCGCACAGTGTCCATTTTGCTGAGTATTTTTGAAAGCATGCGGTACTGCTTTCGATTTTTTGACATTTTTTGTCAGGCGTTCAAGGTCAATTTGACTCAAGACAGTTTTAGGAATATTCAAAAGGGATTGATTTGGATATAATTGAAATTACATGCTTAATACACCTAGGGCCATATTACACCAATATTACAGGTGAAAGCACTCAGTTATTACTGAGTATAGGCTTCTCAACACAAGTATATATGTGGAGATTATCCCTGTTTTATAAAACGGACAAGTCAAATCAAGCAATCTGATTGGTTCTTAGCCGTGATATACTGAGCGTATACCACGGCCTGTCGTGAGCTATTGCTTAATTATAACCTGGGCAATGTGTCCTCAAGGTTACAGACGCCACGTTAGGTTTGAACCACACTTGTAGTTATATCATTTTTCAGAGATACGGCTTTACTAAGCAATTAAATGTAAAATAACCATAACTCAAATTCCCACAATCCCTTACCGATAAAGAAAAGATTACATAACAAGATATCTCTTTTGATTTATTCCTGCCTTCCACAATTAACCATCTCTTTTAGCTAAGGTAAAGAAATAGGAAATGGATATAAACTCTGAGGAATGTGCAAGCTCTCTTGAAAATGTGAAACCGACTTATAAAGACATCGTGAATAAACTCACACAGGCAGAAACGTTTCTGCGCTGCTCTCTGGTAAAAGTCAGAGCTCATTTATTCCCCCAACGACAACTGGTGGTTTAAAACATCCCAGAGATGAAAACAGGTCTGAGGCGTTCCTCTAAATTGAGGGCAGGAGTGCTGTCACATGATGCCTGAGAGAATTATCTTTTCGTTTGTCCGATGTTGGACTTCTTGGTATTTATATACAGAGGACATTCATGGAAGTAAGGGGACATGTTGTGCGTGCTTGTGTGTACAAACGATATGTTTACCTATGTGACATTCATTAATTAATTATAAAATATACATCATTTCAGTAATTTATTATGAAATGTATCTTTTGTATACACACATATTTTTCAGAATCCCAATTTTTTTTTCAACAATAATTTCCTTTTATTTAAATTTTGGAATCAGATTTTTTTTTACGTGGATTATATCTGTATTCTTCCTGGTTTGTCTATACTGGTGTTTAAATGATTTAATTTGTCCTCCAAGATTCAAGAAACAACAATTTCTGTACGATTATAGGTTTTGAATGTGTGAGTGCAACTATTTGACTAAGATTTGAAACATTAAAGGTCAAACTAAGCATTCAGAAGGATTCTATCTGTTTCCTATTTATGTTTTCATTTGACCTACATTAGTTTTGTATTGAACAGAATCCCCAACATTAAGGAAACGCTGTTATGTTAATGGTCATCATGAATATGAATCCTGCAAAACACTTCTTACTGTTCAAGTTGATTCCTTATTGTATTGTTATTCAGATCAGTTTTGTGTCACAGCATCTGGATAACATGAACCCAGATGACTCGAGTGACTGAGGGCTTTGTCAGGGCTCAGGAATGCCTGACTCCTGGAGAAAAACACAAACAAACAATATAAAAAACAAACTTTTAAAGCATGAAATGTTCTGCAGACTCGAATGACATTCACAAACTCCACAAAATCTGTGTTTTTAGGGGGAAATAATCTGCCTGTTTTTCTCTTTCAGGGCTTGCCAAACATTTGAAGACATTTCAAAAGATTGAATAAGACCCAATTGTGGCTTTGGGCATCGTGATGTGATGTTTCTTCCGGCTTGAGTTGCACATTTTGGTCTGTGTTGAGTCATATCAAGACTGAAATGGATGATAGTTCAGTTCAATCCAATTCTGACCGTCATGTGTGCTATTTACACCATGACACGTCCCTACCACTATTTGAAAGCATGCACCAAGATTTGCTAACTAACAAATAAGTACACTTTCAGATAATTGTATTTGCATAATTAGAAAACAAAAAAATGCAATGTTAATCTAGAATAAAAGCTTTTTTTTTTTTTAATCAAGTAGATTTACAAGTGCTCAAATATGTCTAAACAATAAATACAAGTCCAAATAAAGTTGAGCTCACATAAAAAAATATCCCCCCATTAGCCTACTATAAAATGACCAAAATGCATGCTAGTTTTACGTTGAAAGCAAAAGTGTGAAAAAAAGATTAAATTGTTATTTAGGACTTCCCTTCAATATTATTTTTTCACAGTAACTAAAAACATCTAATCAAACCTTGAAATGTATAAGCTTTCTTTAACAGATTTATGAATGTTGAATGAATTGTGGTGGTTAGACGTCAAACGGAAAACCCTATTACATTACCCAGAAGCGCCTACTTAAATATCCCCCCCCCCCCCATGCCCCCAACACTTTTCAACATAAAGTGACACCATTAGTATGTGTTTTTTATTCCAAGTGAAGGTGAAGATGTGTCCAGGTGGCTCGCATGCACTTCATGAATTAGACTGAGCCACCAAACCTCAGTGAACTTTTCACATTTTCTCCTCAGCGTGAGCCACTGAGCGAGGTCATCTTAGAAGCCCAATAAGACACCCCCCTGCTACTTATTTATTTTTATTTGTTCTCCTGTGGCACCGAGAAGCTCCAGGTAACTGCCACTGACCCCAGAGCGAACCAAAGCTACGCCTGGTGTGCATTGCAGGTGGTGGAGATGTGGAGCAGGCAGATGGGCTCTGCTTGGTGGAAACATAAATCCTGCAGTAAGAAGAACTCTCTTCCTCTCTGCACAACACTCCCTGGTGAGTCCTGTGTGTGCTCGAGTCAATGAAGCTTCACTCTCCTGCAGCACGAGGCCGTTTGCTCTTTAAATCAAGAAAGAGAGGTCAATATTTCATTTATAGGGCCTTTGAATGACAACTTCATTTCTAATTTGATGTTATTAATAGCCTACTAAATTGTCAAATTAAAAATAAATACACTGTTGCTGCTCAGAGAAAATGAACTGTGTTTCTCTTTTTTTTAAATCAGGCTTTTATGCTTTTGTCGCAATTGAAAAAAAATGCATTCATATTGCAAATACGTGTACCAAAGGCCTGCGTGATGTTCCCGTATAATACTCACTTACTACGTGGACACATGCGCTAAATTATCCGACATCGTTGATATTTCATGGTAAAAAATAAATAAATTGTTAAAACGTTTTTTGGTGCATGTGGTTAATTAATATTTAAACAAGTAAATGGACATGATGGAAAACTAGAGCTCAGTTTAAAGCTAAGAAACGTGAGTAAATCATCTTCTGTCCCAAATGTCAGGTGTAGAAATAATCCTTAATTCATGTAATCCATGAAATGTGTGTCTAAAAAACTTGTGAACGCATTAATAACGAAAGAATTTAATAATTGAGGACTTCCGTGTATTTCTTTATGTGCGGAAAACGTGCGTATTATGTTAACTGCATTTGCTTTATTATCTAAAAAAACAAAAACACAATCACATAAATTAACTTTAAAATGAATTTGCGTTTTCTATACAGATTTATATATATTAAACAAGTGTCATAACGCCTTTTATATACTTGAATTGGAAGCGTTATCAGTTTTGGTAAGGCCTAAACAAAATATGGCTACAAATCAGTTTGTCAAACACGAAAAGCTAAAAGGTTAAAAGATAATAATTTAGAAAATATATGCTTCTTCCCCATAACGCATCTTTAAAGTGAATTTAACCAAACTCTTCGGTTCACTTTATTCCGGTACCAAACATGTCAAACTGGCCCAAAAACGAAACGAATGAGCAGCAGAGATCAGCGAGCTTTAAGGATCCACAGAATCCGGTTAAATCCCATTCTGAGTCCCAACAAGCAGCTGTGAATTACTGCCTCGTTGTGGATGTCCAAACATGTTGTACATTAGAGTTCTGGTTCTGCTCTCAGACTGTGTGGTTGGGTCGGGGCTGGGGGAGGAGTTGGTTCGCATTCAGAGAGGAGGGCAGCTCTTAAGCCTCTCACTCTCTTCGGGGCTATAAAGACGTCGTGCCTTCAAGACAGAGCAAATTAACTCCGAATTATTGCATTACAAGGCATCGCTGCGACCATCCGAGCAGAACAGCGATTAGTTCTTTTTTTTTTTAATGCTGACTTCTGATTAAAGCGGATTTGGGTTAAGATGATGGAGTACATGGAGGATAAATTCGCGTTGAAAAACCAAACGATGAAGGCCAGCGATTACTACATGGACCAAGTCATGGAGAGCCTGGACAGCGCGCAGTACTTCACCAAGTCTTCCCCGAAATGCGTGCAGGCCTTCGGGCTGCAGAGCGGGGAGCACCGTGCCTCGCCGTGCGGAGACCAGAACGGTGCGTACAAACTGTGTTGTAACTTTCACTTTTACTGCAACAACTCTGCAGCTGTACAGGAGTTTGTCTGCATGTGTGCTGCGAGTTAAAGAGAAACTAAACTGATGGAAATAGAATATATTAGTATGTATTTATTTGTTATATTTATTATTTATTTATTGGCCTAAAAAAACGTGTTTCTTTTGTAATTATATTTTCGCTGTTTTTCTTCTTCCTTTTTTTCTTTTTACTTTCCCCCCCGAGTATTTTATTACATTATTATACATTAAGTTCACTTATAGCTCAACCAATTATATATATTAAATCATTCCCATTGTTTTAAAAATACTAAAGTTAATTTAAAAATTAAAAGGTTAACATTTAAAAATTATTTCAAGTGATCATATATTTGTAATCATGCTTTAATTTGCACTATAGTGTCATTAAATGCATAAATATTAAGGGCTATTTTATGGTCTTGATCTCTTTATTTATTTATTTATTTTAAATGTATTAATGTGTATCTTGTATTCCAGGAAGCTACGGTGTGCCAAAACCAGACGAGGACCCTTTGCACACGGACCTCGGCCGGTCTATGGATAACTGCTGCACTCTGCGCGCCTCTCCGGTGAGCACCGGGCAGGACAAACCGGATTTGGACGACATGGGAGACAAATGCGACAGCAACGTGTCCAGCAGCAAGAAGCGGAGACACCGCACCACCTTCACCAGCGCGCAGCTGGACGAGCTGGAGAAGGTCTTCCAGAAAACACACTATCCAGATGTTTATGTGAGGGAACAGCTGGCCATGAGGACGGAGCTAACAGAGGCCAGAGTGCAGGTACGGTTTATCAGCAGGCTCTTATTGTGGTAGCTTTCACTTATGGAGAAAAGAAACCATTAAAGAAAGAAGGGATTTAAGACGATGGATGTGGAGCGATGCTGCAATGCGTAAAGTAACATCACTATTGAAATAGCAGACTTGTAAT